GTATTACATGTCAACTGGTAACTCGGGTAACACAACATGTCACTGTCACGCAACTATTAGTCTCTTAACAAGAGATAAAGGCTTTTTGTCAGCAAATAAACTTACCTTTTCGGCAGCCATAGAGTTCAACTCTCAGGCAAGGTGTGTTATGATTGTGGGTCTTTGGATGAAAGCGGATGAAGCGAGCATCGATGTGAGGCTTAAGGGAGTGTGCAATGACAGTGTTTCTGTCAGTGTTCCCAGGAAAGATCTGAAATTAATAGCAACCGATAGTTTAGCTCCATCAAATGCCAGATTTCAATACACCTTCAATCATACTTGATACTGCCTAGTCGGAAAATGCCTCCCTTTAGTCCCACAAGGGACTAAAGGGAGGCATATTTAGTCCCACAAGGGCATACTTCGATGCATACTTCGATCTATATTGTAGAAATTTAAGAGTGTAACGCAAAACATGGTTTACGCGCCACTCGCGTGCTAGGGTTGAGATTGACGTAAGCAACTACGCTACCAAGCGTGCGTCTAAAATCCAAGCAAAATTTTGCTACTCTGACCAGATCCAGTGAACCTAGAAATCTGTGAAGAAACGTCTTCTGCTTTTTCAGAAAAATGCAGAAGTTAGCAAGCATTTTTGTTCAAGATTTGGTCAATTATCTTGACAAAATGCGTGGCTACCCTCAGTTTTTTTGTGGATTCTAATAGCCCTTGCTAAGGTCTACTCTCATCAAGGTCTTAATCAAAACCTTTGTATCTAGTAAGCACTCTCCTGAGCGTTGAGTTTTGGACTTAATAACGTGAATTTGAGACTACATGGTGTATGTACTAAAAAGAGAAAAGCACAATCCCACAGAAAGACAAGAAATTCACTGACCGAGACTACATTATCTCTGTATTTTGGAAGGTACAAAACTATTTGACAACAAATACTTCAATATCAAGCGCATCAGTTAAACATTTGTATTTCAGGGAATGACAACCGACCGTCAAAACTGTTCACTGTAGAGTAATGCATCAATTTGAACACCCATTTTTTCATTCCAAGGGTGGCAAAAAAATTGTGGGTGCTAAAAGGGAAGGAGTGGGATGGATATCTCAGTTGTAAATTGATTGGGAAATCAAATTGATCACAGATATAAAAGCAATATATTGATATGGGCAAGAAAACTGCTTTTAAATTTAGAATGACTTGTTATTTATATTACTTCAAACTATACTATGTTCATTTTTACGACTGCACATTCAGGCCTGCTGGTCTCGCGGTGTTTATTTTCTGGATCATGTCAACATCGTCCATTTCGTGGAAAATGAATAATAGGAAAATATATAAAGAGGATTATTACACTAGTGGACATTTCATAAAGGTTACTTATTATATAAACACCAACGAAATACCAAGTGAGCTTTCGCGCGAAAACATGATATCTTCGCAAGTCAAAATAACATGTTTTCTTCACAAGTAAAAAGAACAACGTTGCTATGGTTACATAATAAATCGCGCCTTTCGCAGCGAAAGTGAAATGGTTTCGTATATCATTGGTTAACTGAGCTCACTCGTGAAATGTTTCTCAACACTCGAAGAAACATTTCGTATCTGCGCACGGCCATGTTATATCCTCTGTATGTAACTTACCTTTTCAGTAGCACGTTGTTTGTAGCTAGTCCAGTGCATTCTATCCACACTGTATGAAAGAGTGTACGTTTTAACCCTGTCCTCAGAGTTGTACCGGCCTTGAGTTGCCACTTTTGTAACTGCAGTGATTTCTCCCAAGTCTATCTGAAGCCACTGATTAGTGCTTTTATATTTTGGACACAGGGCACCAATATGTTTGCCATCAGACAAAATGTTCAGTCTTACAAGTGAAGGTCTGTGCCTGTTGTCATAACTACCAGAAGCTGTAAACACACCGTCAGGGATGCGTTTGTCTTCCATACCGAGTGACACTGAACAACTGTGAACTAAAAAAAAAAAAATTGCAATAAGCTCATATTTTTGACAAGCAATTCTGATCTGTCATTATCCCGTTAAGCACTCATACAATATCAGCAATTATAATCCATCAAATATTTTCGCTAGCAAACGATTGGTCGCATTACGTGGCTGAATATGCCCCAGCTACTTGAAAGTGGGGAATATCTGAGTGATATTCCCCACTTTTCAAAACCGCGCGTGTTGCGAAAAACATCTGAAAGACAACAAATACAATAGCCTCCATTTGGCGCGAAAATATGTTCGGATATTTGTCCTTGGACACGGACCTGTTCCTCGAAGCTCACAGTTTTCTTCGAGTGACGTTCTCGAGAAACTATTCGCTTCTCGGAACAGATAATGTTCGCGGACAAATATCCAAGCGTATTTCCGCGTCAAATGGAGGCTATCATAGGTGTACGGGCCGGGGGGACTGGGGTGGCTGCAGAACCCCCCCCCCCAAACAAATTTGGGCAAGTCAGTTTTTTTGGGCAACAAGAGAAATTTGGGACACGGTTTTTTAAAACGTTTCCATTTGTTTCGAGAAATTACAATGCCACTAAAAACAGAGAATAACAATACTGGTAATCAATATACAACATTCTGACACTCAATACTCAAAAAGAGTGCGAGTCGGCATTTTCCAAATTTAAGCCGACCGTTTTCGAGCTCGAAACTTAGTCCACGAAACATCAATCCATTCACTTTGTTTGAAACTCTGTTAATTTTAACAGGTGGCTATCGCTGATTGCGGTGGAATTGAAGCCTTGATTACAGGAAACCGAGAAGACAGAGGTAAGAACAGTTATCGGACACTTGTCAGTACTTTTTTCAACAACCATGTATTTAACTTCTTCTCTTTTCTTTTCCTTCTAGAAGCAATT